GTGATCATATTTTGCATTTTATTCTATCGTTTACAGCATAGATATCATAATATGATAACATAGAAAAAAAACTCGTGCACTTATTATAAGATAATATTTATTCTAATAATGTTAAATTTTTTTAAATTTAATATATTGTTCAATATGAAAAAATATATATCTTTTTATAAAAACATAATATTGCAGGTTACGAGTATTATAATATCGTAAAATCTAATGTTAATTTAATTATTATTAACAAAGGATAAATAATAATGAAAGTAAAATATTTTAAGCTGATAACTCGCACCGCTATTTCGACCATGATGTCCGACGGACAACGATTGACACGCATTGTTCGCCAGCATATAACTTAACATTTTTTTGTGTTTCTAATTGGAATATATTATAATACGCTTGCAGTATAATATTTTTACACTAATTTATTACAAAAAAACATACTCAATGTTACGTGCCGCTTATATGAATGTGTTTCCCGGCGTTCCAACAGTCATATGACACAAACAAATATACGCTTATATTTATTAATTAGAATTTTGATAGACTGTAATCAGTATTTCATTAATATATAATTAAACATACTTATAAAATTTATATAACTTATAGATTTATAGAGTTACAGCAATTATTTTAACACATTTAGCACAATGCATTTTGTCATCAATTTTGTAAATTATTCATAATTTGAAATTAAATATTAAGAGAATAAATAACAATTATAATATATATTTATATGAGAAAATTATTTTATAATATATAAATGATTATCTAGTAAGTATAATATGCCTCATTAATAAAATAAAATTAGTAGAACATATTAGCGAAATAAAAAATTAAGGTGTCTAAATAATAAAAAAAAAAAGAATATAATGAAATATTGTTCAACTTTAACAAAACGTGTCTGTTTTCATATCTATTATTTCCGTAACAAAGTAACTTTGATAACGTTTGCATTTCCATGCTGTATGTCTAATTGATCAAGTAAGATTAGGCACTTCATCCGATGTTTCCCCTCGACATCCATCCTCATTGCAAAAGGCAATCATCCTTTCACGTGTGACGTCATAAATCGAAAGACCATAATACTATCACGACAGTAGACGGCGCCTGAGATGTACGTTACTTTTATGTCAATCTTTCATTTCAGTCTACTTATTGGCGCCGATCTACGCGATTGCAGGATTAGTTTATATAATAACAACAAGTAAAAGAAATTGGAAAGTGAACCAAATAAGAAGTGATGCTCTATAAAGAGTTATAAAGTAGACGACTCAGACAGTTATTTTTTTAAAAGATTAAAAAAATATAATTTTTCTTTAAATTTTCGTTTGCACTTTTGTAACAGCTCTTTGGTACTGCATATGTATCGCATGATTTAAACTGTTACTTCAAGATGCTTTCAAATGTTGGTCAGAAGAAAATTTCTATGGAGAAAACAGCATTAGATGTACATCAAATGCATATCTGCGTTAATATGTTTTGACATAAATAATAATAAATAAAGTCTAACTGTATTGCATGTTACGTGTACGAAACTTGTAATGCGAATAGGCATACCGTCAGAGCTTGTCGTATTTTCCACCGTAAGCTTTAGGTATCGGTAATCGACTACCAATCCGTTGATTCGAAACTAAAAATGCAGGTAGATGTGAAACGGGAAAGGAAAAGAACGGCGGTTGGATAGGAGGGAACGAAAAAGGGTGGACCTAGAGACTCGTGGAGGGCAGGCCAAAGGTAGGACTGCTTGCTCGCTTACCGCCTGCTAAGACGAAAAGACGAAGGTAAAGGTAATCGCTAGCATGCGAAGCACGCCTCGGGCCCTCGCAGCGCGTACATTCTCGGTTTGTAATATACGACTTCCGTACGTTGATGGAATATTCGAAAAATCCAAGAACCTTGCCGACGATAGGAGGAGTATGGAAACGAAGATATCAGTGCGTAGTCATAATCTCAAATGTACAACAAACCTTTCCGTGAAAACTCGTGAAATTGAGTTTCATTCCCGTACGCACGAGTTTTCAGCGAGTTTTCTCGAAAGTGGCTCCTACAATGAGATTTTAAGACGTAAAACTTGAGCTTTTAAGTAAGCTCAAGTATGGCTTTTACTAAGCCGTAAGAAATTAATTAATCATATTCGGTTATTCTCCTTACATTCGATTGCGATTAGTCAATTTCTTACGGCTTAGAGCTTAAAGCTTAAAATTTACACCTTAAAATCTCATTGTAGATGCTGCTTTATACACTGTTAAATCTATAGTGTTAAATTTAACTTAGTGTGATTCTCCACTGCTCCTACTAAATATATCGTTATTTTATACTACAATCTTCAAATAAAATCTATACCGAATGCACCCTGGCGTCGAAATAGCGATATGGATCAGATATCGACGAGTACGCATTTCTTTTCTCGTCAGGTTGAAACTCCATTTTCGACAAAGAACAATTAACTACTATCGACTTAAGTATCCAGACGTTCACAAAATATATGGGTGGATCGAAATCTGATAAAAGAAGAAAACAGGAACATATCTTTAAGGGATAACATATCTCAACTAGATGCATTTATTTTGTGCTGCGTGGCGTTGCGTCGGCGATTCCGCTGGCATAAGCGTGCACCGACGGAAATATTCTTCCGAATATACGACGCTGCTAGCTCGTACTCATGTCACCCCGGACAGCCTGTGTGTTGGTGTACAAGTGCTTCACCGAATGGAATGCAACGCATTTCTCAGTCGGACCCGACCAACACGTAGCTCCAATGAAAGATGTCCACCGTTAAGCAGGATGCAGATAATCTGAGTGTTTATCGCCGCCATCCCTGAAGAAAAGGACGAGCTTCCAACGGAACGCAAATGGCAACTCGGATTGTGGTGGCCATTTTTAAAAATGGCCTTAGCTTGCATACTGTTCTCGTCACCGCATCTCAGAATGTACGTGGACGCAGCTGGTCATAATCTAAGGCGCTTCGTTATCCTCGCTCGAGCTCGGGAGATGTAAGAGAAGCCTTTTTCGCTCGCCCTCGCAGAGCCGGAAACGTCATGGATTATAAACTTCTTCAGTCAGTCGCGGAACCGCCCCGGACGCTCCTATACGAAATTTTCCTGCGTGACTTCGATCGCGCTTCCCCTTTTTGTCGAGGGGGTCCACGTGAATACGATTATACGATGTTTGGAGAAACGTCACCCTCCGGACGTCGGGCCGGGCAACTGTGTCTCTGGTTGCATCTCATATTTTACAAGTGTTAAACACGCCTTCGTCCCTTGCGAGTTTCTACAAAATGTCCTCTCAAGCTTGAAGAATGTTGTCAGGCAATCCCTTCTTACGAAACAATTTATGCTTCCGCGATCCGAAGCTACGCATTTAATTTATGTTCGCCATCAAAATAAAGCCTACTATATAATAGGATTGTGCTCACATACATACAAAACGTTTGCACGAAAG